TCATTTTTGCATTAGATAAGTTTAGATCATATCTTCTTGACACTAAAGTTATTGTTTTTTCTGATCATGCAGCCTTGAAGTACTTACTTAGTAAAAAAGAGGCGAAGCCACGACTAATCCGTTTAATCTTACTCATACAAGAATTTGATTTGGAAATCAAGGACAAGAAAGGATGTGAGAACTTGGTGGCCGATCACTTAAGCCGACTTCCAATCTCTGCAGTTGATCCTCCCATTCGTGAGGAATTCCCAGAGGAAAGCTTGATGATGGTGCAGAAGTCAATGCCATGGTTTGCAGATATAGTTAATTACTTAGCTACAGGTAAGTTACCATATGATTTAACGAGAGCCTAAGTAAATCGTATTAAAAGAGAATCTCGTTTCTTCATTTGGGATGATCCGTATCTTTGAAAGCATTGTCCAGACCAGATAATTCGACGATGTGTTCCTGAAAGTAAGGTAAGCTCAATTTTAAAATTTTGTCATTCTTATTCATGTGGTGGACATTTCGGACCAAAGAGGACTGCTCATAAAATTTTGGAATGTAGATTATTTTGGCCTCATATTTTCCGTGATGCTTACTTATTTTGCAAGTCATGTGATAATTGTCAACGTCCAGGTAATTTGACTCGGCTATATGGGTTTTTTTTGTTTATTCTTTCAGCAATTATTATATAATTCTTGCGGTTGACTATGTTTCGAAGTGGGTAGAAGCTAAAACCACTCGAAACAACGATGCTAAAACTACTATTCAATTTCTAAAGAATTTTAATTTTTCCAGGTTTGGTACACCAAGAGCGATAATAAGCGACCACGGCACATACTACATTAATTGGGTAATTGATGCGTTTATGAAAAAACATGGAGTAAATCACAAGATTGCCACGACTTATCATTCACAAACGAAAGGACAAGCAGAAATTTCAAACCGTGAAGTAAAGACAATTCTTGAGAAAATAGTTAAGCCAAATCGCAAGGATTGGTTGATTGACGCTTTGTGGGCTTATCGAACTGCATATAAAGGACCTATCAGCATGTCGCCATATCGCCTTGTATTTGGTAAGCCGTGTCATTTACCTATCGAGATGGAATACAAGACATATTGGGCTGTAAAGCAATGCAATATAGAGTTAGAAGCGGTTGGCGAAATCGGAGAGATGCTTACGACAACTCTAGAATATATAAGGATAAAACAAAAGAATTCCATGATCAAAAAATTACTTTTAAATCTTTTTCTATCGGAAAAAAAGTTTTTCTTTTTAATTCAAAGTTAAAACTTTTTGCAGGTAAACTTTGATCGAAGTGGAGCGGACCTTATATTGTAACTGAAATTTTTTCTCATGGCACAATCGAACTTGAAGATGGTTCAGGTACTTGATTTAAAGTAAATGGACACATGATGAAACGTATTATGTGAATAGCCAAGCTTGCCTAATTAAAGATCTTGACTTAGAAGAACCTATAGTCTGAATCAGGTCGTCGAGCTAATGACGTTAAACAAAAACGCTTCATGGGAGGCAACCCATTGTTTTTAATTCCGTTACATTTTCAATTTTAATTTTAATTTTGATTAAGCATGTTTCATTTAATTTTTATTATTATTTTGCAGTAATCGAATGTTTTTGAAACTTAAACAACAAAGAATTGAGAGATTATTATCCGAACAATGCCAAATTCGGACCCAAGGAGCATGTAATGGCGTGCAAAACAATGTAGTACTAATACTGCTAAGGCAATATCGATATTGTGGAAACAGAATCAAAATATGGTGTCGATACCCCTCTGACGGTATCGATACTGTTAACTCCCTACGATGCACGTTAGCAAAATCCAAATTATTTCCCCTATTTTTTTGTTATCTTTCTGCCACATACTTCTCATTCCTCTCATCAAATTTTCCTTTTGACCATGGACCTCACCCCCTTCCCTATCTCTATCACTTCCCATTCTAATTGTACCCCTTTTTCTCATCAAAAATAAAATTTAATTCAAACTCAAACACCCTCCACGCACGGCAAAGATAAAAAGAACCCAACCTCATTTTTTTCATTCTCCACATTGATTGCCTCTCTCACAACACACATACCATATTTTTCTCTCCTCACTATCATCGGCTTACCGAAGCACTATTTCATTGCTAACGTGCTTCAACATCTTCATTTAACGATGATACACACGAGAAATTGATCGGACAACATCAACGCTCATCGGCCCACCGTCCTAGGAGGACGTCACCGCTTTAATACGCCGACATTCGTTGAGTTGCCCATCGACTTTGATTTCGTTCCATCGCCACCCCCTGTTCGACCGACCCAAGCCCGTGGCCAAGTATCAACGTCGTCATATCATTCAACGTTTGCACCCCGGGCCGAGTACCTCTCGCCGTCCGTCACCACTGCGCTCCCCATCTCCATCATTCCACTCAATGCCAACAACAACAACATCATCGTCTCATCCGCGACCGACTGGTTTTTCGTCATATTCGATGCATTCAGTGGCATCGAACAACGCTCTAGAGGTAAACTCTAGTCCTGTTTCGGTTCAACCTTTTCTAATGTACCATCCTATTTATGGTTTTACAGAAGACTTTACTGTTGGTTTTCCACCCCCATATCCCTCACCTGCGACTTCGAGCTCTCGGTAACAACCCAGGCATCATGTTTCGCCGAACTGTTCCTCTAGCCCGGGTGATGCCCCTATTCCTGACAGCCCACCGCCTGTCCATGAAAATCTAGAGTGTAATCGAAGGGGTCATCATACGCTGTCCTTGCCGAAGAAACACTGCACGAATATTTGTAATTCTCGAAGACGAATTGGTACATTTTGAGTCGGTAAAACATCAACCTTTCCGTGTAGGATTTCGATGCCAATATGGCCTATGAGACTCTTACTGGCTTGGTTGGCCACACGTTTAACGTTCGCTCAACTCGAGCTCATCTTATCCACGACCCGACTTTGCGCTACATCCACCACTTCCTCACCTACAATTACTTCGATAGGAATGACTCGTCCTCCTCCTTGAGCCGAGTTAAACTATTCTTTTTATGGTGCATGTCAACTGGCCAACGAGTGAACTTGGGATTTTGGTTTGCTCAGGCCTTTGAGATCATTATTTGATCTAATCGCCCATTTATCCTTGGCTATTATATTACTCATTTAGTTTCTCTCATTGCTAATTTTAACGTTACACAATTTACTTATGCTTTTTCTACAGATTCTTTGGATGAGCGATGCTTGGATTCGATGGGCCTATTTGCTGGAACCCCGAGAGCCCCATACTTCGTTCCACTAAGTGTCCTCACTCCTCGCTACGAGTAAGTCTTCGTTCGCCGTAATACGCCACAACTACCACCTGCAGCACCTCACCCGGATATGCAGTCTCAAATGGATGAAGTCCACAACCGCCTCCATTCCATTGAGATAAACATTACTGAGATTCTTTCCTATCTCCGTCCTAACGCCTCCCACCGTGGCCATGGTCGACATTAAATCTGGAGAGTACCATATTCCTTCTCTTGCACTTTAATTTTACGTTTTGAGGTAAAACACTTTAAGTGAGGGGGAGTAAAGTATAGGTTGAATTTCCCTTTTGTTTATCTTTATGTTTTGATATTAGTATATGTTGGCTGGATTTGCGGAAATTTCATTGAATTTCTTTGTCTTGTTGAATATTTTTTGGAATGCTATGTTTGTTTGGGAATACATGATTGTTTAGTTTATGATGTTCTTGATAGCGAATAATATGAATTGTGATCAAGTTGGTATTTTTGTGATATTCCATGATTTTGTTGGTTGAAATGTGATTAGCTCAATGCATAAAAACAATTTGGTGAGATTTGAGCCTTTAAGAGCATATCATTTTCGCTCTTATTTTGTTGAACTGAATGTGTCGAATTTAACATTGGTATTCTAGAACCTGCATTTTAAATACTGTCGAGATTACACATGAACATGATGCATAAAAATGATTTGGGCAACTTAGGATTAACCATTTTGTTTCTCCCCACTAAATTTACTACCCATGCATTTTTCCCCTAGTTAACCACTTTTGAGTCTATTCTCATTTCTTTATTTTCACCATATTCATAAACCCGAGCCTTTTTATTTTATCCCTCTTTTCTACCTTTTTCAGGACAAGTGAATAATTTAACCATTGTATGCTCCATCGAAAAAGAAGAAGAAAAAATAGTAGTTCGAAAAAGGGAAAAAAAAAAAAAGAAAAAAGATGTCGTTCGAAAAAAAGAAATAGAGAGTAAAACATACATAAAAATGGAAAATAAAACAACAAAAATGCGAAAAAGAAAAAATTAAATGTATTCCGAAAAGAATTTTGTTATTTGATAGTTTGTCTTTTTATCTTGTTGTGCTTAATGTTTTGATGGAGTTAAACTTGTTATTTGTTAATTCCTTGCCTTGAATTCTAGCATTATTAATTAACCTTTTCCCCACCTTTACCTAAGCCCCGTTACAAGCAATAAAATACTCTTTAATTTATGCATCTTGTTCTTATTAGTAGGGGAGATTTGATTTACTTACAGGCCTCACTACTAGAAAAAACCTCTTTAATGGCGTGCATTGTGCGTCATCTATGGGTACAGATGACACACAAATTCGCGTCAATGAAGCCACCGACATAAATATCAGATGACGCGTAATTATGTGTCATAAATCTATGACGCACATTTATGACACATATTTATGACTCACATTTATGACGCGCATTGAGCGTCATTGAAGCCCCCGTCATAAATAAAGATGACACACATTTGCGTGTCATAAATTTATGACACGCATGTATGACTTACATTGCGTGTAATTGAAGCACACGTCATTAAAAAAGATGACATACATTCATGTGCCGTGATTGTATTTCATAAATTATGTATATATATATATACATTGTAGATTGACAAATAATCAAATTAAATCACAGTTTATAATAAACGATTAGTCAAAGAAAACAAAGAAAACATGACATTGAGAAAGAACATATAACCATTATTATAAGTTAATAAAAAAACACTGAAAGTTACAAATCTTCTTAAATGAATTCAACAATAGTCCTAGTTCACATAAAATTAGTTACTGCTCCATGCTCGGATTAGCCATGAACTGTACTATCTATGCTGCACAAAGAAAAATTGAAACCAAAGCCTATGTCTTTCCACTAAATGCATCTAATGTTTAGGTAAGTAGCACTGACTTTACCTTGCAGCAGATGCTAGTTTAAACCCATAGTACTGCAGGTTTTTTTTCCTGCAACCCTCAGTCACAACAACTGCCCACATGGTGACTACAGTAAAAACACCTAATACATCAAGCATGTATGGCCACCAACTCATGGAAACGATAACTCCGACGCTGACCAGCACCATGTTTAAGAACTCATTACACCTTGGTTTATCAGTACCACACATGACATCCATGAAAAATATTGCCACTGGCACTGTAATATTGAAAACATAAATAGCCATTCATTACAATTATAGAGTGATTTCGTTGGATGTAATCAAATAATGCACTTTGTTTCCACATACTTAGATCTTTGAGCATCTGGATAAAAGCCACATATATGTGCAAATAGACAGTGTTGCCAAACCTATATTGATAACAAAAAAATGAGGATGCTTAGAATATGCAAAATCAATATCAACAAAAGGTAAGCAAAATAAAACAAAGATGTCAAAATTTTGCACAGCCAGTACATAATAAGCTCCATATCGTATAAGCAATTTGCAACCTATAGCATAAACCTTTTGCCAACTCAACATCTTAAATGCATTTAAAATTTAATTTTCATTAAAAATATAAGAAAAACAAATTAGTGATGTCAGAACCAATTTCAGGGCAAGGCATTAAGATATGAAAACACGGAGTAAAACAAATGACAGTAATTCAACAAATTAGGATCCTGCTTAATTAAGAAACTTCATTATGCTGAGAAGGCAACTTGACCACTCCGCGAAACCCCCTTAACCTTAGTTCAAGTTTAAGAAACAAAATAAAAGATAAAATAATACATATAGCAGGTTCTGCTATCTATATTTGATTTGAGCTTAACAATAATCATCCAGGTTTATTTAGTTGAGAATTTTCACAAACTCAAGTCAACCTACCAATTTGGGTGCAGTAACTCTTTAACAACCATTAGGATAGGAAAGAAGATAGATCATTGAGGGACAATATTATACTTAAAACAAAAAAGATTCTGAAACAAGCAACAAGTTCACAAGTAATACTATGCTTTCAGTCTCGGCAGGGTTTTCAAGCAGTATGTATTTTTTGCTGACAAAAGTAACTCATTACACAACACAAACCACACCATAATAAGGAAAACACTACACCACACACACCAAACACAAATTCCAGTCATACCACAGTTAAATACTTACCAAAGACTTGATGCAAAGAAGACACTTATAGGTATTACACATGTTACATATCTACAACACCGAGAACATTTGTTTAGGAAAGAGAACATCGATATTGTAGCTAAGCAGTAATTGAGAATAATAACGGCTATTTTAGATAAAGAATAGAACTTACATTTCAAATGTCATTTTGACAGGAGCTACAACCTGCATGGCAAGATTGAGGGAGAGGAAAATGCCTTACAAAACTAGGCAAAACAATGGAAGATGAAGCTTGTATAGAAAAATAATATCTATACTCTCAAATTTATATTTCGCCTCTATAGGTAAATACAAAGCAAAAAAAAACACAATGGATCTTTAGCTTCAGGTCATAAAGAGACCACTAAGTTTTGGAAATGGGGACAATGTAACAAAAAAACACATTTTATTGTGACAAACTTGGCATTCCTAGAGCTAGTTGCATTTGTATATATTGTTGAGACGAGAGTATGTGGTTTAACATTCAACAGTTTAGTATGAAGACATTCCTTACAATAGTTAGCAATGCTAGATGGAAAAGAAATTGAAGTTAGTTGCATGTTAGTCATACCTTGAAAACACGGACAAGGAAAAATGCAACGATTCCGGAGAATGCCATGTGAATCATTGTCAACGTCATAGGAAACGGGAAATTGAAGTACTTGGGAGACAACACCCACTGCAATAAGAAATAAATAACATAAAAATGGAGAGAATGAATTGCATAAACAAAAAGTTCATTCCTAATCAAATTGAAAACGAAAAAAAACATCATTGCTTTAGTTGTAACCTAAACCTAACTATCACAAGTAATGAATTAATAAAGTTTGATCAGTTATGGACTTTTGTTGCATGATATTGTAAAGGGAGAAAAGAACGACACAATACAATACAATTTACACAGTATGAAAGCTGGGGTGTAAATGAGCTATAATTTCTTGAATCGTTGAGATTGTTCAACTATCGTTTGAGATAATCGGAAGTTTGAAACTCAAAATGAAAAACCAAGCAAAGACTATAACAATAACAATAAGGTGGAAAAGAAGAAACTAGTATGCAGAAAGTTCTATGGTCGAGGATAATATCCAGGGATCTCAGAATCGAAAAGAATTATCATACAAAATCATTTTGACATCACTTACAAGAACTTCAGGGTATGATTTGCAATCAATAGTTCAGCATTGCACAACCATAACATTCTAGAAATGGAACTTTTAAGTTAAATCCAAGCATATTTACTAAGAATCTAACCACTTAACACAATGATTCAACTTCATAAGATCAAGCATCGAAACTACCCGAATTCGATTCTTTAGCAACAATGACAAATTCACTAAAAGAAAAAGTAGCAGTTTCACTCTCCCAAATACATAGAATCATCTATTGCAGGAATGTTGTCCTGAACCAAAATCTGTCCGGTCAGCTGAGCACCCATCCAATCACTTGCATGCTCCATCTTCAGACAACTGGATTTCGTCTCCTGTATTTTTTCCATATCAGTAACTGTAGTCAGTTCAAATAATATTAACCAAATATCTTCATTCTTTGGCATAAAAGATGCTATCAAATGAAGCTGGTGATGACTGAAAAACATGGAAGCTGATACCATGAAAACTCATCTCCCCAGTAAATATTATATTTGAGGATATAAAAAAAAGCAAAATAAAGCAAATAGAGAAATCATCTCCTGGGTCGGATTCAAATCGACTTTGAGCTCACATGCACTCTTTTTCCTCCATTTAATTCTAGGGAGGTTTCTAACAATGCCCCTAGCAATGAGTTCTATCTTTATTAATAAGAATCTCCCTTTTCTAAAAAAAGACGTTAGGAAAAAATCAAAGGAAATATTTGAATGTAAAATTCATCGTTGAGCAATGGATTAGCTAAATAGTAAACAACAATAACCAATGACATGTATACTGACCTGAAAAGGAAATATGAGAGAACACAGGTCATTACAAGACTGGCGAGCATTGCAGGGGAGTCTCACATCACAACATATGAGGCATTGCACTACAATATACTCTTCAATTTTCCTTGATACAATTTCCACCATAACAGGAAGAGCTGAAATGATAATTGAAAATTTTACTTCTAAGGCAAATCAACATAGAAGAAGAAAGCCAAAAGAACGAAAGACAATAATAGGTAAAAAATAAATTTAAATCTCAAATTGCTATGTAAAATAAAGTAGACTACAAGTAGATTAAAAAAGAAAAAAAGAATGAAAGACAAAAGTTTTGGTTGCCGCTAAAATCGGATGTGATTTTTGTAGTGGTAAATTCCAAAACTGGTTAATTCCCCTTTTCCTTTCAGGAATTCTCTTCTTGAGGGATTCCTATTCTATTTCTATTGACCCTTTTCCATCTACAGCACAAAAAGTAAACAGAAGCAATGTAAAAGGAAAGGGAAAACAGAGGAGAGATCAAAGTTAGAGGTAAATGGAAAGGAAAGGAAACATACTTTATGTACAAGCAGAACTTCAGGGAATTTCCCTCTGGGAAAATCAAAATCAAGGATTCAAAATCTCGATTCAACGATGCATTGGCAAATTCATCGCCATTTCCACGACTAGGTTCAGTGAGTGTCAACAAACCGAAACGTTGGCCAACTGGTCTGAGATCAGAATTTTGGTTTAAATCGGTAGAATCATCAAGAGAAAACGAATATGAGGTAGAATCCCACGACGTTTAGTTTTACCCTCTGGGAAAATCAAAATCCAGGATTCAAAATCCAAAAGCAAAATCGAAACGGTTCTCAACACTTCTTTGTTAATGTTCACTCCTTTAACTTCTAGATTTTTCTAAAGAACCAAACAGAGGAAGACTAACTTGAAATTTTAAGGCGTTTTGGCGATAAGAGGCTAGGGCTGAGGTAATGAAAGATGAGAAACATTGCTTCCATTGTCCATTGATACAAATTCACAAGAATATAACATAAGTAATTTGTAAGATCAGAAACCCAAATTGAATGGTGGAATAGGGAACGAGGAATACCTGTGGAAACCCTTGAATTTAGACTCCCTTCGTCTTCGTCTGTGTTGTGGTGAATGACGAAACCAGTGAACTAATGCAAAGAGAAAAAAGAAAAAAAGAAAAAGGGGAAGCATGCGGCTTATAATTATCGAGGGGGAAAGAAGCGGGAAATGATGAAAATAATGGAGGTTAAAATTAAAAACGATTTTTATAGATGATACACAATTAAAAGTGTATTTCGTGTTTTTGTAAATTTTTTAGATTATGACTATTAAATATGACACACATTATTGTAAGTCATAAATCGTTCAGATTTTAAAAAACATGACATTTTTTATGACATATTTTTTGCAAGTCATAAATTAGCGTGTGTCATCGTTCGTGTGTCATTAAATGTATATTTTCTTGTAGTGCCTATGGTAATATCGTGTCGGTTCTGAAATTAAGCATTTTTGTACCCAAAACACATTGAGTGATTTGAGCGAATCCCGGTAAGGTGTGAGTTATGAGCATTGAGATTAATGAATGAATGAATGGATGTTACAATTGTATTTAACTTGTTCCAATTGGTGATATTCAATTGATTGATGTCTTGATTTGAATAATTCTTGTGGTCTCTACCTTGCTTCCTTGAATATGAAACTTGACAAAGAACGGTAAATGAAATTCTTGACAAATTTAATTATATCATACTTGAGGACAAGCATGAGCTAAGTGAGGGGGAATTTGATGAGTGTTCAGAATCGTTAATATTTGCTTGTTATTTCTTCAATCTTATGGATTTTATTACTGTTGATTTGGTTGTGTTATGTTTATTTTCGTGTAGGTCCTTACTTTCTAGAACTAGTGGTAAAACGGGCATATTTTGCATTTTTTTATTATTTGGTCACGGCTGGAGACATGGGCACGACACGGTGTGACGTAGTAGTTTTTAGAAGGTCCAGTCAGCGGCGGTTTCTAGAAGATATACTCAGCGCGCCTTCTAGAAGATGTACTCAGCGCGCCTTCTGGAAGATGGACGAGTATAGTTGCATTAGGAGACTTGTTTAAAGTTTGAATTTAGAAAAAAAACAATTATCTTTAGGATTATTTTATTTTAATTTTTTTGTTTATCCTTAGGCTTTGAGAGGCTATAAACACCCTATTAGGGTAAGCCTAAACTCACAACGCATGTTACAATTCTCTTTTCTTTATAGTTTTATAAAAGTTCTCTCATTTTATTTTTCAAGTTTTTGATTTTTACTTTATTTTTAAAGCTTTGTTTTTAAATATGCTAAGTATGACTTTTGTCATGCTTAGCTAATTTTTCATAAACCGAGAGCTGAAACAATGACTCAATTCCAACTGGAGAATTGAAACATGCCCTTAATATCTTCGGAATATCTCTCTCAATCTCGACACTCATTTTCAAAATCAAAACAGTTTTCAAAATCAAAGATAGACTTTGGTCAAGAGGTTATTGCGATTAAATGTGTGAGAGGAAGATTCGACTTATAGAAATCACATTCGACTTCCTGGGAACACACTTGGCGAGATAGTTTCGCCAAGAGGGAATTGAGATCGGAATTGATGGTTATAGAAGCAACAATCCAAGTCGGTCGCCACGAATTTAAACGATAATTGATCTACAACAATTGATGTTGATTAGATCAATTTTCGAAACCAGAATCAAAGATTGCCTTGTATATTTGGTATACAAAATAGAGTCACGGGGATTACCCATTGTAGACAAAGTAACCGATGTGAATCCCGAAGCGAAAATCTAATTCGATGATATAAAAGAAATTGAGTCAAAACGAGGCTTGAGGCTATTTTTACTATATTCATTTTCAACTTTAAAATCTTTTCTTTATTTTACTTTAAATCATTTTTATTATTATATCTTTTTACCAAACCCCCCATTTTACTGTTTCACGCTTGGTTTAAAACCAGTCAGATAAAAATTCAAAATTTTACTAAGTCCTGAGGATCAACCCTTACTTCTCTTTACTACGTATTTCCTTATTTATTAACCGAGAAGAAGAAATTTTATTTGAAATCAGAACGACAGTTGTCAATGTATATCATACATAATGGAGGGACTTGACTCAAACTTGAAAATTCATCCACTAATTACTAAAATTTCGAGTTATTCGAGTTGTATTTTACAACTCGGTTTGAACTTGAATTTTTTTCGAGTCGAGTTGAATTTATGAAATTTCAACTCGAAGTCATTTCGAGTTGAGTTTTTTCGAATCGAGTAAAAAATCAATTTTTCGAGTCGAGTGAGTTTTGCTCACCCCTATTTACATCTACTAACTTAGCTTCCACACTAAGGATTTCAACAAATTCACTAATTTTTTCAAACCTTTTAGGACAAGGTATAACCTTACAACACACTTAGACACCTAAAAGTCTCAAGTGTACAACCATTACTAAGAACAAATAGAAAACTTAGAAAACCTCACTAGAAATGTGTTTGCAAAATTCAAGAACAAGGAAGAATACTCAATAAATGAAACAAATGAGTACAGAAGTGTTTTTTGAAAGCACAAAGAATGTTGACTTGATTTTGGCTCAATATGATTGCTTTGGCTTTCTCTATAATCTCTTGTCTTCACATACTACCTGGAATCTTGTTTTTATACCCTTACATTCAATTCTAGCCGTTTGGGTTGTTGTGGGAGTTAATAGAGTCAGTGTGATAAATTTTTCCGCAATAAATGTTGCCCAGACGCCTTGAGTACCAATACTTGGGCTTGGAGTATCGGTATTATCTGCATTAAATATAAATATCTAGTTGTTGGTGAGAGGGGAGTATCGCACTTTAGTTAGAGTATCGATGTCATTATTAATTCTTAGAGAGTATCAGTACGAAAATAGTCTACTGGAATCGTGTTTGTCAAAAACTTAAAGGGAGTATCGGTACCAGTATCAATACACTAGTGTATTTTTACACATTAATACTGGTTCCTGTATCGGTACTACAATGTATTTTTACACATTAGTATCGGTACCATTATCAATGCTATGTGAACACTATTAGTATTGTTTTTGCTCTATCGGTACTCTAGGTTTGAAAATTGATTTTTGACTCAATTAAGATAAAAAACCCTTTGTAAAAATGTTTGAAAATTATTTACAGTATATGACTTGATTTTTTTCAAAGTAGTAAGGAGTAAAGATGGAGTTTTTGACTTTAAAAAGAATTTTTATATTCAAATGGTTGAATTAAATATAAGCTTGAAAATTAAATTAAAAATAATCTTAAAATTTCTTTAAACTTATTTACTTTTGGTATATCAAAATCACAAAGCATGATTCAACACACCTAAAATGATAATATTTGTAACGTTAAACACTGTGATGAGTCAAAAAATATTTGAAGTGTCCATTCGTAAAAAAACGATATAATTTGGACACTTATTTCATAATTTAAAATTATTTTTATTATAATTATTATCGTTAATTGTCATTAAGAAATATGAATGGGGCGCACAATCTTCTTTCCGAAAAACATTAAGTTTCTTAAACATGAAGTTGGCAATCGTTGCTCCTATTTTCGTTGCCATTAAGTGGTTGGATAAAAAAATCTTCAAACTATTCTTGTTCTCATCTTCTTTCTTCTTATCAACGTAAACTCATCTAATTTTTTTAATCTCTTCAAATTTCAAATAGAATTAATAGTTAAAATATTTTGATTTGCTATCGTCAACTATCAAATCAACTTGAAATTATATTATATTAATTTTTTAATTAAACGGAATTTTTTCATCGTTAAAATTAATCGAATTAGACAATTTTCATTTGTTCTAATTTTACTTTGTTTATTGTATGTTGTTATTGGTGATTATGGATGTAGATGATGACCAAATTATATTTGTGATGGTAGCTTGAGGTTGATTTGATTGTGGATGATAACTATAGTTTGTGGTTGTGGTGTTTCAAATCTGAGATGAAATAGTAGTGATGAATGGTTTGATGATTGTGGAAAGATTGTGAAATTCGAGTATGATCATTGTTTTGTTTAAAGATAATGGTAATCAGGAAAATATCGAATGATGATATCATAAGAAAAATAAGTTAGTTATTATTAATTAAAATAAAAAATTTAATAACGATAATTTATAATAATAATAATACAAAAATGAGTTTAAAATTTAACAGTAGTGTTATAAATTTTAATTACAAACTCTCTAAAAATTCAATGATCATCAAACGTAATTTACTTTGAATAGATTGAGAAAGAAATGAGGTGTGGGGAAGTGAATTGTCCTCTACTCCAAACTTTTATTAAAAACTTCACTCTTATCTGGAATCCAGCGGTTCCTTCTTCTCACTTTCCTTGGTCTGACAAGAAATAAATAAAGCAGAAGAAAAAGCGAGAGACGGAAGAACCCTACCGCTTTACGTTTTCCCCTGTTCTCACTCGTTTTCTCTCCTTTATATTAACTGCCCTAAACCCTTGCTCACCATCATCTGAGAAAGGTGGGGGTAGAGACCGGCGTTGGAAGTATTTGGAGATGGGCGGGTTGGCAAAACGCTGCAATCTTTTTCCACCGTTGCGGAAATAATATTTGTTTTGCCTACACCGCCCATTCCAAACATTTCCTCTGCTCCTCTCTGTCCCCTGTTTCTCTCATAAAAAAACACAAAGAAGATATGGAGATGGAGGGCGAGGGAGAGGGAGAGTGGTGTTGGGAATAATAGGTATGGGGGAATGGGAAGTGTTATATTTCTGTCCGGCAGAATTAATTCTTCCCAACGCCTCCCATACCCTTCATTTCCAACCGTTGCTCCCCCTCCCTCCTCCCTTGTTGCTTATCTTTTCTGATGATCTTGGTCTCTGATGGTCTTTTCTTCTCTAGTGTTGTAAGTGGCGGCTGCTTGGGTGATGCAACGTCTGGGGTTTCCTTGAATTTGGACTCTAATAATCCATTTCTTTATCGTTAATGTATGGTTAATCTATAGGTAATGCAAAATTGTTTAAGAGAATATGAAAAAAAGTTAATTTAAATATTTATTTTATAATTTTCAAAATTTATATTTAATATATTAAAATATATTTGATGTGAGATTTTTATATTTTTTATTTTCATAATTATATTGGATTAATGT